TCACTACCCACCCCGCTCGATGCAATGGGCAGCGCGGTCCTGATTATCCTGCGCGACGACAGATGCAGTATGAAATTATTTTTTTGTGTATGCATTGGAGTTTAGTGGACGGGTACTGCTAGGGTGTCCAGCTACTAAGCAGGAAGTGCTGTTTTGGGAGACGCGAGTTCACATAGGCAAAGTCCTCTCTCGTTAACCATGCTTTTTTCAGTTCAAGATGTCCGAATATGAATTCAAGATATCCGAGTATCAATTTCATGTCATGTTGGTATGTGGATAGTAGGACAGCGCGATTGCCCCATCGCTCCCTATTGTCTTGTACTTTTTGTGATGCTCTTGTGGTCACGCGTAGTCCATCCGTGTGGTGAAGGCACGCCTCCTGTACAGTCGAAGTTCACTAGTCCTGTCTGAGACTCGCGGCTGTGTAGTTCCTCGCTCGGGTTAGCTGGGTAAGTCACAAAACTGTGTGAGCTTGTGAGCATTTCGCCCATAAGTTACTTTACGACCCCAATTATACACACACCGTTTTTACGCCACAACTCGATCCAGTTATCACCCATAAGCATTTATCGCAATTCAGCAGTGCCCTATCTGGCTCGCATTCTAAATGACAACAAGAAAATCCTAAACGAGCTTATTTTGACCTACAGAAATGATCTTTTGTTTAAGTTTTATCGTTGTTGTGCATGACCTTTTTGATTTTTCATCACAACGATGAACACATTTTTCGACTGAAATGTAAGCATAGTTGCCTGCACAAGTAATTACAATACCATACCATATAGTACAATACAATTATTGGCGTTTGCCTTTTGCACTTTTTTACTTCATTTGGGACAGTTACCTAGCCCACCTTGACGAGTGACTCACACACATGAGTTATTCTAAAAAGAGGGCCAGTGACAGTCATCATTTGAGTGGGCCGATGCCTAATGCCAGTAGTATAGATGACTCCCCCTCGTCACAGGTGAAGCGCAGTTGACTGATTGCTGCCAAGCTCACAATGTATGCAATGTATGAAATGTGTAAATTGGATTGCTAGTAGAGGTGGAAATCAAGTCAACTACTATGGTCAAGGTTTCCCCTTTCCACGGATCCCCGGGCAATGCTTGATCGACTGTATCCGTCCATCCTGAAGACGGGTTGTGCAGTTGTGTTTAGTAAAAGGGAACTAAAAAGATCGTCATCAAAAACGGCACAGTCCAACTGTGCATATGTACTTCAAACATTCTGATCCCATTCGAGATGGCAACAAGAACACTAATGCTGTCAGTTTTCTGCTATGTCTCTCATCGCGCACCAGTGACGGACTTGGACCGGTTGAGTTTAGCTAAAATGTTTAGATTGCTGTATAAAATATCGATTGACACATGAGCTCAGGTCCAGCAAACGAACTGAACGAGAAAGAGAGCTATTTATTGTGTGGTCAGTTTGGATAAAATAATTGGAGAGTAAGTACACTGCAATATTTTTAAAGCAGTCGTTACTGATACCTGATCCTGGTTTGTGTTTCAGATATACACATCGAAGGAATGCAACAAAGTGGCTGTGTCTAATCTAACAATGAATTTCTTCAAGGGACAAATAACCGTTTTACTGGGACAAAATGGCGCCGGAAAAACTACCACGTTGTCCATGTTGACAGGTGAGTTGTGATTTCATAAATTGGTCTGTCCTGTAAGAATAAGGACCGGTTCAGAAGACGAAAAATCTCATATCCGACCAAGTTGTTTTGATTCAATTTGTTTTGTTTTAGTTTGGCTGGATAAAAAGTTACAGTGCGCCTGATTAACAGTCAGTTTCGGCCTGTTGTGCACTACTTTTTGAATGTCATCAACCGGCTATGCTCATTGGCTTTCTTACGTTATGAATAATTTATAGCGCCTAAGGTTTCACACTCTCAGAAATCTAAATGAATCTAAAGAACAAATGCGATCTTGTCATCCATGTCAAGGATTCGTTATCTATTGAGCTATAACCCGTCTAGCGTTATTTTCACACAATGGAAACATAGCGGGCACGTTTGCATTAACTCGGCGTTCCGTCTTCCTCTCCTGCTCTTCTTGTTTATCATCAACTCTATAGGATACCTTCGATCCGCGCGTCGAGTGCTCCCTGTTACAGTGCTGACACAGCAGATAAATATGATGCTCCAACCAACAACGGTCAGGATACAATCCAAGATTCTGTATTCCCTGATCGCTCTTTTTCCAGTCATCCAATTCGAAATCGACAAACATCAAAAGTTAAAAACCGTAGATATAGATTCCTCGGAAAAGGAACGCAAGACAATGGCCATTAAGACAGGGATTAGGGTAATTAGTATCCATTTGAAAAGTGTTTAAAACCAAGTGAAAATGTTATTGCAAAATGTAGTAGGGTCTACGAACAATCCTTATGCCACCGCAGTGTAGGGACGATTGGTGACGCATATAAGTCAAAACTGAAGCGCAAACATGCGTTTGTCCACTAATCTCAGTGTTTCAGGCGGTACACATTGTTCCTTGTGAAATCCGTTTCTTCCACATTGTTTGTATCGTTTTCATGCGGGCTGTAGAAGCAGATAGCCTTACTTGGCAATCAAGAATAAGGTAGCGTCTGTCCAGTGGTTCAGGTTTTCATCACCTTTTTCTGTTACACATCCCATGGTAATGAACAATAGGGAGAGCAGATCTATTAGAATAAGGCTAATTTAACCGGGGGAATCAAACTGGTGAACTATGTCTGTACCCAACAGAATGGACATGGTTTGGAATCTCAGGCCACACTTGTCAATGCGCACGAGCGATAGTAGTTGAACCTGTTCAATCATCACGACGAGGCTACATCTTGACATGGTGTGATGGCTTGTGCACCTGTGACCCAACGAGCTACACAGGAGATTTTATCATGCCCGATTTTCAATGGGTAGAGGTCAGATGATGTCCAGTCCCCTGGTGCTCCAGGTTGGGGGTTGGACTCGAGTTAGCGTCTCAGTCGGTAAAATGGTAGAGGACTAATTGATCCAAGTAAATGGGCCTCTACTTGGCTTTACCTGCTGGCTTGCGGTCATCTTTCCGTCAGAACTAGGCTTTGGACGAGAACCCTGGTCGTTCTCCTGCTTAGTGACTAACACCCTGTCAATAGCCGTCCATGAAACTCAAATGCATTCACAAACAAAAGATAATTCCATACTGCATCGGTCGTCGCGTAGGATAATCAGGACCGCGCTGCACATTTCATCGAGCGGGGTTGGTAGTGATAAGTGGGTTACTGCTCAGATATCCCAACCTTCGTTTCACTCTTTGTCCTCCCTACCCAACCCTCTCCCTTCACCCCTTCTTCCAACCCGTAACATTCCTATAGTCAATTTGGTCTTCACTCGCCAAAGGTCGTTGCCAAACAGCACTGTAACTAATTTTTCTTTTAATAAAGTGCAAGTTCATTCATTTGTTCTCTCTGTTTTCCCCATTTTGATTCAATCTTTCTGTACCCCTTCATATCTTCATTATCATTGTTTTGCATTGGCACCATGCTTGTTCTCAAGCCGGTGTGAAATATGCAATACATCGACGAACACTGAAGGTATCACCTCCGTTAGTGATGAAAGGTTTACAAGGAAACTACCAAGCTCGGCTAATAGGCAAAAATGAGTTAATGAACTGTATTTTGGTATGTATTCACCAGACTATTTGGATATCTGATTCGTAATGGCAAGCATACTTGTACTACTTTGACATTTTCGCGTATTTTCCGAAGGGTTAGGAAACGGTAGAGTCATCTATCACACTATTGTTGGCTGCTTATCATTAATAATTTCTTTTCTGTTAGGTCTCTATGCTCCATCCAGTGGGACTGCATTCGTCAGTGGACATGATATTCGCACCGATATGAGCGGGGTTCGAAAAAGTTTGGGATTTTGTCCGCAATTCGATGTTCTGTTCGATGCGCTGACCGTGGAAGAACACTTGCGATTGTACGCCCAAGTAAGCTCCTGTTTAGACATTGTCTTCTGGTAATATTCTGGGACAGAATACCGCGACCCAGGAGTGTTTTTTTGGCACTCTGGATGTATATTTCGATCCCTCTCCCTGTGTGATAAATCTGTCAAGTTAGATACTACTAATCTTTGTCCACGAAGCGCACACCGAATTTCTCGCATCGTCGAAACCGCTACCTTTGGTTTCTCTTTAGTCCTAATGGATTTATTCTTTCACTCTTAGACATCTTCTTGGTGCTGTCTTATTACTTTTATTACACATTGTTATGGGATGAACAGCAGAACGGGTGAACCCCATAATCGTGAAGATCTGCTATTCTGTGATGGAAACCGGCAACCTAAACCCCGGGACTTGGAGTGGTGAACCACATAAGGCCCCGCCAAATTAGGGACGGCAGTAAAGCTGCCTTCCACCAAACTTGGGTGGCGGTTTCCGGGTTTGAACCTCGGACCATTGGGTCCAAATCATGCCTGTGACAGCAACTAAACCACTGGGCCAGCACCAATATGCCTTCCTGATTTTACACATTAAAGCTATTCTCCGCACTTCAGTGGTAAAATTCATCTGACTGGTACCAAATGAATCCCTCAGTTAAAATACACAAATGATTGAATTAGTAGTTTTTTGTACACGCTGAACGTTTTGAATTGTTGGTGGTCAGTTTGCTTGCGCACACCGGTATTGCTCGCTCATTCCCTTACACATTCGACAACCTACGCGCATATCACAGTACTTTAGTGTAAATGAAATAAAATTTGCTCGATGCGTTTCATATACCTTAACTCATCCGACGTATTTCATCCTTGTCATAGCACTGTATTAGCCAGTTAAGATGATTCACGCTGTCGCTTGAAACGACTGCATTTCCGTACACGGCTGCTGTGGATCGTCTCCATTTGCAAACTCATATAGACAACAGTGCCGAGCGGTGCTCCTATCAGACACTTTTCCTTGGTTTGGTTTGAGGAAATGAAATTATATGATGATAGGATCATCAGTGATGCTGTCACTACCCCACCGGTGTAAATTATTTCGATTTTCAATCTAACCGAAGACAGACTGTTGTTCGTCCCTCCACGAAGTATTTTATTCGTTGCTTTTATTTGATCCACCCCTTCTTGCCACCATTGGATGGAAAAAGTAAGAGCAGGCTATTGAAAACACTAGACATTTGTGGTACGTCTTGTGAGCAGTGAAATCGAATTAAATGATTTGTATCACTGTTAATATTTTTATTAAAATAATTTGTTTTCTTTGAGATAAATACGAACAATATACGTCTTGATCTGTTGCAGTTGAGCCGATCATTCTCGCCTACCAATGCAAGTTTCTCTAAGCTCGATTGTTGCAAATCCTCTATCGAAGGCATTATTTCACAAATATTCGCAAATTTAAAGCACAACTATATGCACGCACTTTTAACTATGCTGAACTGTGATGCTCCACGATTTTGGCTCTTGTGTACATTTTCCGAGTTTTTCATTCATCTCTTGCACTCCTTATCACGATTTCGGCATATGTGAAGTGGAGCTCTCCATCGGTGTTCATTACTCTCCCCTCATGCTGTTTATTTTAGTTGAAAGGCCTTTTTGGCCGAACAGTGAAGGAGCAGGTCGTGAGTGTCCTGACACAGATCAATTTGCTACCCAAACGTAACTGCTTGGTAGGATCGTTGTCTGGTGGTATGCAACGCCGGCTGTCGATAGGCATCGCCCTCATAGGTTCTTCTGAGGTAAGTACTCAACGAATACATGCATATAAATAATTGTTTTTTTTTGGGGGGGGGGTCCATATGTACTCTTTTCAGTTGCATGAACTACATAATTTAATGAGGGTCTTCTGAGTTAAGCTTTTTAAGTTCTTGGAAGATAAACCAAAGCATCTGTGACACCGGTGTGATGTTTCAGTAAAGTTGATAGGTTGTTTGTGCTGTGCCAATGCTATGCAGCCAATTTATTTTTACTGTGTGAATGCTTAATTCATTTGTGGAAGGCAACCGTTGACTTTTGCACAGCAACGAATAAATGGATTAAAGTGCTCCTATCCGTCACGCACTAAAGTAAAAGTTCGTCTTCTTCGGAGTGTCTCGGCGCAAAATCCACTGTCGAGACTAGTTAACTAGAGAAGACTTTACCTGTGCGAACTCGCGTCTCCTGAAACAGCACTGGTGTCAGTTACCGCTCCATGGGGGTGGAGTGGGGAACAAGACATATTGATGTCAATAGGTGTGAAGAATTGCCGGAAAAATGCGCGCTGAACAGGTGTTTCTCGTCTTTGGGGTTAGGATCCGAAAGTTGATGTAATCGATCGACTGGTCGCTCTGAAGAATGTCAAACCGATCTGCGAACATGTCACACTGAGGTTATTCTGCACATGTACGGTGTGTGTATGTGCTATCCGGGCTGAATCACTTCGTCTTATTTTCCATTCGGGATCCCTGTCTATTCGCCTTACATATTTGTAGTTGTTTGGCTCAGCACAAATCGATGAGGACCTCATCGTTTGTATTGTTCCCTTGTATTTTCTGCGGTCTTAAACAGAACTGATCCTAATTTTCCAATTCGGTAAACTTCTCTCTCATTGTGGTGACATTTTTAAGACTATTTATTGATTTTAATGTGCATAAGCTCATTGATGCATATGATACAATTACCGACTATTTTCTTGAGAATTCCGCAATCGGAGCCTTTGCCTAGTCAAAACCTGACGCGCAACGCAACGGGGTGGTGTGTGAAAACCGCAATCCATTGGGGGCCGGTGTCCAGTTCATCGGATCATATGCCCTTCTGACGGGGTCAAACGTCCAAGATGGCCAGTACACTTCGATGCTCAATCGAACCGGTGACCACTGTTGCACCCGGAAGGTTTGTGTGTGTGGTTCGTGCGTCGCCTTTTGCTTGTCTTAAAATCAGGGTTTTTTGGCCAACTCCCCTAAGTGAACTGCCATTGGTTCACCAACCCGTTTATAGCCCCGAATGTCAGCTTTTCGTATCTCACACAAGAAGGTAGTGAATAGGGCTTCCTCAACATGATTCGTCCCGCCTGTCGAGCTGTTTACCGGGGTGTGGCTGCTGTCACATCCAAACAGCTTCTGGGAGCCACAAATGAGAGCTGAGCACCCAGTGGATAACATATANATTACTGACCATTTCATGTCGAATGTAGATCATTTCCATTTCCATTTTGATCTTAATAATCGTCTGTATCATGTATATTTCACACACGTCTGATGCCAGACTATGTTAAACAAATCATAATGCAATAATATTGATGAAAAAGAAAAGCGTTCCATGATTTGCATGTGCACGGAATACTGCCAGGTTGCCCAGGCCAAGCCAGGTGAATTTTCTAGAGGAATCCACAACCGGAGTCTTTGACTAGCCAAAAACTGACCTGCAAAGCAACGGGTCGGTGCGTGAAAACCGCAATCCACTGGGAGCCGCTGTCGAGTTCATCGGGTCATACGCCCTTTGGACGGGGTCAAGTATTCAAGGTGCCCAATCGAGCCGGTGACCGCCACCACAACCAGGAAGGTGTTTGTTTGTGGGTCGTACGCCTCTTCCTGGTTGGTTTGGAATCAGGGTTTTTAACCGATTCCTCTGGGTGAACTGCGAGTGGTTCATCAACCTGGTCATAGTCCCGGGTATTGGTTTTTCTTCCTCACACTTTGGCGGAAAATCACCTCCTCTACGGTAAACAGTGATTAGGACTTCCTCAACGGAGGGTACTTGAGACTCTTGGTTGTAGGAAAGCATTTCGCGAGTTGAAAGGGAAGGTCGACCAGCGACAACCGAAGATACCCAACCCGACCATACTGAGGTTTTTAGAGGCATACTATTTCGAGCCTTGATCCTGTCCCGTTTTTATTGCTTGCATTTATATTGTTGCTTTTCTTCGTTTTATCTACCTCATTGAAAATACCAACGATCCACCTTATGAATGCATGAAGCTTGTTCTAACTGTGTTACTGCTCGAGGACAATGTTGATGAGGGTAATGTGTTTACAGTTTACAATCTCCTAAAAAGCACCCTCAATAGCTTTATATCGTTCAATTTTTTCTGCATGAACTTTATCGTTGCCAGACAATATTATCCTTGGCAATTCGGTAAAATCAAGAGAGTGTTTGAGAGAAATTCGCGTCCACTCACTTTCTACTATCCAGGAATTGAAACTGTTTTACACACTGTTACTGTTACACTGTTACTCCCACAAAGGAGTGTATAGAATTCATATAGGCGGAAAATAACAAAAAATCGCTTGTGTGCGATCATTCTTCTATCTCATGAGCACAAATCCGTGAATGTGGTATGTTCGTTCACTGTTCATAAGTTGATGAACAAGACGTAGTATTCAATCTTACGGGAAAAGCGAAAGGTTTGAGGTCAAATGGAAAACCGTCTCATCACGCCACTCTACGTGAATGAATTCACTGCTCCAAGCATGTTTGTTGTTTTCTTCTTTGGTTTCGAGAAATTTCTCCCTTGGTAATCAGTTAGTTTGTGGGCTTTCATTTTTTGAAACGTTCCTAATGTACGGCGAATCAGAACCCCGCCATTGCACAAACATTCTAACTGTTGACTTTTCTGCTACTGAAACGTTTGCAAACAATTTGACGAGCAGGGGATAATGAATTCAATCAACTCGAACTAGGACCACTATTTTTCATTAACTTTGTCAACATACTCAGCTGGATAATTTGGGTGGCGGTGGTATGATTTCAGCGTAGGACCTCGATATACTAGTGACTTGTACTGCCAGATCATCTTCAGGATTAGGTGCCAGAGCGTAGCAGTTATTGTTTCATTCTTTTGATAGCCGTTTGTTTCCTATTTTTGTCCAAATAAATGTAGACCATTCGGTTATCATTATTTGCTAATAAACTGGTCACGTGATTTGTGAATCAATTCATGTCCGGTCACCGATTAGATTTGCTGTACTCCTGAAAGTAAAAGTGCATCACGTGGTGTTCAAATGCCCCCATTGCTGTATAACACACTGTCAGCTGACCAACACAGATGGGGCGTGAGATATGGGGCAAATGGGTCCAAAAAGCCAGATTATGCGAGATCGCTGCACTGACCCTCACAACATTTAATTTGTATCAGATCTCATGTAACCGTTGACTTCTATTTGAGCTAGCATTTCATAAAGTTCTTATTGATTCTCCTCTGTTATGAAATTCTAAATTCATTAATTCATTTTCACACTGTTCTTCATCGTTAGGTTATCATTCTTGACGAACCAACCTCTGGTTTAGATCCCGAGGCTCGGCGTCAAATTTGGGATATCCTTTTGAAAGAACGTGATAATCGAACCGTTGTGGTCACAACGCACTACATGGATGAGGCAGATCACTTAGGTGATCGAATAGCTATCATGGCTGAGGGACATTTACGTTGTCTGGGATCTCCATTGTATCTGAAAGCCAAATATGGTAAGGTTCCTTTCAAGAAAGTTTGCATCGATTCCGTTTCACGTGTTTCATCATTGCCTTTGAACAGAATGTAAACGGGCTTTCTGTGAATCGCTTGTCTACTTTTTTTTATTACACACTTAGGTGTGATGAACAGCAGACGGGGTAAACCCCATAATCACAAGGACCTGCTGTTCAGTGGTTGAAATCGGCAACCTAAGCCCCGGAACTTGAAGTGGCGAACCACATAAGGCCCCGATAGGTTACTAGGTTACTACTCCAAACTTTTTTGCACTAGAGGACCACATGACTGTCTATTGGGGTTGTTGCTTTTTGCTGCCTTCGTACTCGTATGCAAATTGTAGACACGGTAGTTGTTGCACAAAGTAAAAATTAGACTTCGTTGGTTAGAAAAAAAATTAGTTCATTTATAATGTGAACGAAGTACGATTGTGTTTCTTCTTATGGTGTTTGTGCGGGTACTGGGAGTGAAACGATCGATCCGTGTGACAACTATTTATTCTTCCATAATCGTGTAATCATATCAGCGAAGTGAAATCAGACGTTTCATATGGTGTCAGTTTGAGACAGGTGATAGCTATTGTGGATCTTGTCTAGTAAGCTCGAGCTATACGAAATCGATTTGCCAACTTATGACTGTGAAACTCCTCATGCACACTGTGTTGATAAGGCACAAGCATTAGGTAAGATCAATGCGACGTGTTTATATGGTCACATATTTTGTTGCTCTATAAAAAAAGACCGATTTGGTTAGCTCTTTGTCGCCCATCTCATGTTTGCTTGCATAACTGCTCTCTATAGACCTTTTCAGCCTTTACAAGCACCAACCTTGCTGTTCGGAAAAGATGAATCCAAGAGTCATAATTAAGGTGCAGTAAATATCCACTGACTGTTATTGTCAATGGTGCAAGGAGGTAGACGGTAAAAAGCCGCTATTCATGATACTTGACGTTTTAGTAAGTCCCCTATACGAAGTCCAGCAGTCTAAACCAATCAGATTTACAATTAAAGCTTTCATTCTCTTCTTCAAAAGTAAATCTACTTTTATCTAGTGTAATGATTTGTGCATTTTTCGACAATTCGTACAAGATCTGATAGATCTTCGCAGTGTTGTTGCCGTGTCAATCAGCGGCTTTCTTTGTTCACTAACCTGTCGTGGTAGCAGTCCTAGTGTTATCTATTCAGAAAACAGTACCGAGTCGAGGAAATTTATTTATTTGAATAACGAAACATCTAATTTGCAACAACTGATTAGTTGTTTCGTGATCGCCTCTTCATCGGTAATCATCAACGTGACAATCTGTTTTTTCGTCGGTGGTTGCATAAGCAAATCCTTAAATCCACTTGCAAATTCCGTGGGAATCCAGTAGCCGCTTCTTGGTGCGTGCGAGCTACTCATAAATGTGAGTAGTACCTCATAGCAGTAGGATAACGAACTCACTGTTACTACTCCAGAATGATCACCATTGTTTGCGGCATGGTGTTCAAGAAAGAAAAGGGGACTCCCAGAGCTGCGCCTGAGACCACTACTGAATCCTAGACGCCAATGTAACCCACTGACTGAAGACATTATCAACGTAGCGCAGTGGTTTAGTCGTTGCCACCGGCGTGCTTTGGGCCCTGTGATCCAAAATTCGAGCTCCGCCACCGCCACCCGACTTTGATGGTAGGCAGCTCTGCTGTCGTCCGATTCAGTGCCTAACCTAGCGGGGCCTTATGTGGTTCGCCACTCCAAGTTCCAGTTCTTCGGTTACCGGTTTCCACCACTGAACAGCAGGCCCTCGTGACTATGGGGTTCGCCCCGTCTGCTGTTCATCGCGCTTGGGTGTGCAATAAACAAAGCACCTGTGCTAAGAAACTGAGTATCAAAAGAAAAAACGGTAGGTCACAGGTTGTTGCTATTACGATTTTTCAATCCATAAATTGCAAAGAGAAAATGTAATTTCTGTTCGCTAGGGGAGGGGTTCAAATTTAGTCTTGTTATTCAGTTGAGTTACTGTGAATTGTTTCACTGCTTCCTTGTTTCCTGTTTAAGTATGTTGTCCTGTTGGCCTTTCAGTGCTAGACATATGTCCGCAATGAGATTTGACCAATAACACAGTACGCTGGTTACTACAGCAAGGTGACCAAAGTGAAACGTGTGAATCACAACTGAATCCAGATCGTGAACCCCAAACGTGACTAACGGTCTTTCCTTGCGGATTTGCAGATCTGAAACAACACGATACATGTTTAAGTATTCTAGTATAGCCAATGATGTTATTTGCTCGCTGTGCAGTTCATGCAGAGGTAGAAACGGTTCTACTATACCTCAACTGGATTGTAAAGTCCAACCAAGGATGAAACATTAGTCTTGTGTCCTTTCCCGACAATTACCTTCATACAGCTGAACATAAGACAACATATTCACAGCACTTGGCGATATTGGGTCTCACTGAGTGGAAATAACTGTCAATACTCCAGCATTTCATGCCAATTCATCAAGAAGTTCGCATTTCTTTGTAAAAATCGTCACTGACGAACTAATTGGCACTATCCGATTTTTCTATAGATTGAACAATTTTATCACTGTTTGCCATTCGTGAAGTCATTCTTCAGTTTTGATGATTTTTGTATACCTGGTTGTGCTGGTCTCAAATCTGTTTGTTTTTCACGGATGTGCACATGCATTCGATCTATCGGGTCACGGCCCGTATCTTTTGCATTGTGATATGGATTTCTATTCTCTCTCTGTCTGTCTAACACACGCACACACATGCTCACTTCCTTCCCCGATCACAGGCGCTGGCTATTTGTTGACCGTGAAGCGCCTTGCAGAAGCTGTCTCTGGTNNNCCATTGTCGCCCAGATTCATCGTCACATTCCCGAGGCATCACTGCGCAGTGACCACGGCGAGGAACTGCGTGTTCTGCTGCCGTTGGAATCGGTTGACCAATTTCCAGCTTTGTTTGCCGATTTGGAAGCGTGTAAAAAGGAGTTAGGTGCATGCAGTTTCGGCATTTCTGTCACCACGATGGAGGAAGTTTTCTTCCGGTACGTTGTTTGTAGACAATCCCAACTTGAACCGGGATACAAATAGCTCACACTCAGTTGTGACCAGCGGTGTGGGATAATTACATGTGAATTTGAACTGACCATCCTTCAGACTTCACCTTTATGCACCGTCCTCGGTTCCGCCAGTTAACCATACACTCTATAAACGAATTCCATGTGATGGGTCCGGAGTTCAAAGCCCGGACGGGACGGTGGATATGCAGTGCTGATAGGCTCTTATAAGAGCGGCACTCGATTCTAGTGCTTTCAGGTGTAGGGTAGACTAAAACTGAGGACTGTGCGTGAAGGTGAAGTCTGAAGCATGCTGTTGTGGCCTACAACTGACTGATTTGTGTTCATACATTCCTGTGGCCAAATTGATTGATCGATCAATCGGTTGAATGATTGTCTGACTGTTTGAATGCTGGCTTGACGGCATTCGCATGTAGTGCGACGTGTGAGTCGGAGTTGGCCTGCCTACCGGCCTCCCTACACGCTGCCCGTTCCTGCTTGTTTGTGAACTGGCTACCTATTTGCTGTTTACAATAAACCTACTGCTTAATTCGTTGTATGCTCATTTACCTACGTAATTTGGGACACAACACACGCCCAGTTCAGAACAATATACGCATATCTACTGAGCTTTCTTCAACGCCTGTGCACACATGTATGTATGTATGTATGTATGTGTGTGTGGGTGTACAGTTATGAGAGGATTTGAGGCACAACACGGGTAGATAGATATGTCGGACTAAATTGGGTAAACAGCGTGAATGTCTTATCACTCTGGTACTACCTTGGTAACAAATGTGTTCGGTGAGTAATGTTGACCGCAATCTTTCTCCGCCTATGATGCTGTTATTTACTGACCGTATATTAATGATCGCATTGACTGCAGTATGCACGTGTACGGATGCTGCGAAATGATCCAGGACACATTGTGCAAACCTATTTTTGGCTTCTGTTTTCTAAATGCGTTGCACCCGCAGCGTTGTTACATGATTTCGATCAACTCCTGTCCATACGTTTACACACGTAGACATATCTAGGCAAGTACATATGAATATTTGTAATTCACTGTTGTGGCTGTTTACTGCAACTTTCAAGTAGTTTCATGAGCACATGAGTAACAACTCGTGGTGCAACCACCGGATGAATATTGCCTCATTGACCAGTTGAGACTCACCGAAACATTTCACCCATTTATTGGATACAAAAACCCTTTTCTTCAATGACTGACTGACCTCAAAGCATATCACCAAGTTGAAATTCGCCGGTGCACAATACGAATAGAATGTTTTTCTGTCTTTTCCTGCGAAAATGGTTTTCTTTTGTAAACATATTCTCTTGCTCGTACTCCAGGTTAATCTGTTGTTGCCCTAGTGACCCCGTTTTGAAATCTCGGAAGTTGTATGAAACTTCAACTGATGTAGTGTGTGAATCGTGCAAATCGTGCACAGTCACGTGAGCAAAGCATGTTATCGTGATTTTAGTCTGTGAATAAAGAATACATTAGAAATCAGTGCATGACTTTCACCATTGACTGCAGACCATAAAGATGACAGTTTGCCGTAATTCATGGCATTGTATTTTTTGAGTGAACAAATAGCAGTGCAATGCAAAAGCAACCGTATTCATAAATTTCGAACTGACTATCCTTCGAAAATGAGCTTCGCGCACGTCAGGCCGTAACCTGCATGGAATGCCTGATTGGGCGAGAGGCTTTCGATTGGAGTTAACACGTAGTCAACTGTCTCCCTTGGTTGCTGTCGGGCCAACACTGAACTGTCTGACTATCGCTGAAGAAGACATCTGGACAAGCATGAGTTGGCAATGCCGTTCAGCCCTGGTATGAGCTGGTTGGCACAATATAGCGCACACGCCTTCCATGCGATAGGTCCGGATGTCCAACCCTAGACCGGACGATGGATATGCACCTCTGATAAGCGAAACCCCAGTCTAGTGCTTCCGAGTATACGGTTGACTTGATGAACTGAGGATTGTGTGAGCATGTGGCGTCCAAAGGATAGTCACCTCACATCAGTTAGTTATCAACCGATCCATGACTAGCTGCAACGCTTGTGCGATCTTTTTTCTGACAGTGAGGTGTATTGGGCACCTTGGACGTTTGATCCCGTCCGAAGGGCGTATGATCCCATGAACTGGACACCGGCCCCCAATGAATTGCGGTTTCCGCACTCCGCCCCGCGGCTGAAAATGTATAAAACGGTGTTCGCGAAAAATTCTTTTCAATGTATCTTATCGGGCGTTTACATATAGGACACGATCATAGTAGGGATATCTGACTGACTGATTACAGCTCAGTTTATAACGATGTTAATCAGGTATATGTACCATGATCGCCTTATGTAGTTAACCGCCTTATGCGATATATCGCAAAGAAATCTCTTCGGCAACACCGTTTTATGCATTGTTTTGATTGAGTTCCGCTACTTTATCCCCTATCAAACGAAACAAAACATGATACCTGTAGTAAATGGATAACGTAGTTTGCAGTAATGTAAAATGTGTAAATAAAGGCTTTCAATATCTGCACACAGTCTTTAGCAAAGACAGTTTTGTGAAAGCTACATGGTGATAGAGATATACCGCCAAAAACTTACGTTACTTTGTCTTCATGCTGTAGTGAAGCAACTTTTCCGGTTAAAAACGATCTTTGGGCAACTGCTTCTTTTAGAAAGGGCTTTATAGAAGGTAATCACTGTGAACTCGGTTCTTAAGGTGTTATTCCTCTAATTAGGCACAGTGTTGCACCTATACGTAACAATGATTTTAATATTGTGCTTATGTTTTTAACGTGTTTACCGAACCAAGCTTTTTCACATATGTCGAATGAAATGTTCCTTGAGCGTACCTATCGGATGGAAATCCCAAGTATGAATTTTGAACTGATGATCTTGTTAGCTAACGACTCATTTGTCATTTGCAAGCTGTTGTTTTTCCTTTCAGTGTGAGCGAACCGAACAACGATGCTTCCGGATTATTAGCACCAGGCAGTATCAGCCGTTCAGCAAGTGAGGCCGGAATGCCGTCCTCATCCGGTTATAGAACGGAGACATGTTCCGGTATGCATTTTCGCTATCTCGCTTTATTTCTTGAACACTACCGACGTTTTTGTAAAGTGCACGCTTTATCAGCTAAGCTACGAGACCTCACGGATAGCACGGATCTTTTTACATTTGGATCACTCATCGAACTTACAGAGGAATATGGAATCCACCAGGTAGCATGTACTCGGATCGCCGCAACACGTCTTCCTCATACTTGAAACTGTCCATTAACAACATTCGGTGGACTCCGGTGGTTTGTAAGAAAGACCTGTCGTGGATGTCAACTTACATGTTACCTGATGGATTCCATATACCTCTATGTTGGATGGGTGACTCGAGTGTGAGAAGATCAGTGCTTTCGGTGTGGCCTCGTCACTTTAACTCTTGTTTATGCAGTGCAGCCCTCGCGAAACAGTCCTTGGGTATTTGTAAGAGATTTCGAAACATTTTCATTTATTCGCATAGAGAAGTATTTAGTTAACTTGATGGGAATCGAACTTACCCATATACTTCGCTCATCAAATTAAACCGGTTCGGTCATCCCGCTATATATTATATTTTGGATGGTGGTATAAACTGCTGGAATCAACAAAGGAACAACAAACTGATTACCAACATTCAGGTACTTTAGCCGGAACTTTTCGTGCACCTGTTTAGAGTTATTTTATCATCCAGCCATTTAAAACCCTAGTGCATAAATGGTTACATTCTCGAAGTTTATGGTTTTTCCTTCATATCGATTGTCTCTGCATGACCAGCTGCCTCCTCCAATGCTTTTTCTTTGCGTAGACACGGGCGCATCTGTGACAGGACAATCTTCTTGCACTTGTGAGTATACAATTAGATTCAACATGAATTTATATGAGGTCAATTGTTTAGGTCATCAATTCCATTTTTATTTGCTGATGATTTCCATTTCAATGTTAGTTTGTCACACATCCGACGGTCCTGATCGTGAAGCACGATACATGTCTTTCAAGAATTCACTTTTGACGCACTGTTACTTGTGAATTTTCATGAACCTGCTAACAGTGTCTGGAAAGAATACCTGTGGTAATCCTCTCCNCCCCCCCCCCCCCCCCCAATGTGTTCATCTGCATTCCGTGAGCTTTTGTGTTGAGGCTAAGGGCACACTGAATGCTCAAAAACCTATTCCGCGCAAGCCCAGCCCGCTTCTCTTTATGGATACATGCTGCGCAAATCGAGTATCAGTTTGCAAAATGTTCCATATAAGCTTGTCGTTGGCGCCCTCACACCATCAAGCTCGCCTGGTGTTGTGAAGATAGTGTTATAATTCTAGAAGACCGGTGCTGGTTTGAGGAGAATTATTCAATACGAACCAGAGTTAGGGTATGGATAATTTGGCGTACATATAACAAAATATCTCATTTTGAACATGTCATCACAACTCCCGGCAGCACATAAGATAATGAATGGAACAGGCCATAGTTATCACTTTGAACACAGCAATTCGCTCTACGAGATCTTGTTCAATTTTGACCGTTGGAAGAAACCGCCAGCCGGATCCTTTTGCGTACTACTCACAAATGTGAGTATCACATCACAACATTAGTGGTATATTTCGTCTATCTCCCACTGATTCAAGCACTGTTAACTTTGCTGATCGATGATGCAACTGAACAATTTTGATAAATTAATAACTGGGTTTCAGATGACATTTGGTATCATTTAGTATTCTGGGTTGTGTCATTTTCTGTTGGAGATGATGGTACGTATTGGTAATTTGTAGAAGAACCACAACTTCCGTGTATGTCGGTGTATATATGTATATTTATATTTCATAATCAGTTGTACGTGAAGGACTGGACACAATTTCCCTGGAAGCACACGACCGGTTTCTCTGTTATATATATATGTTCGCCGAGCTTGTCAATTGTACAGTTGCCAAGCTCGGCGAACAACTGAACATCAAGTTATACTACCCGAGCTACAAAAACAACAATCAGCACAGTTGTTTACAAAACTGTCATATATATATATATATATCGGTTTGAAGTTACGTCGCGATGAGGTTACGTAAGGGGTTAAGGAAAGGGTGAATTGTCATTTGAGAACGGAGAACCCTTGTAATCTCGGAAAAATCTGGTTGACGCGGCGTAGAATTCGAACTGCTGTCTAATTCTTTTTACGCCTCATTCGGATACATTTTTTCATTTTCCTTGCTGTTCGCTGTCACTGATTTTTTCCGCCCCACTCTCATGGTTCAGTTTTTCACATAACTCAGCTCCTCTGAACAAAAAACCCTACAATGCTTCTAAATTATCTTTCTTTCTTTCTTTCTTGATGCTGTAATAATTCACCGTCGTTTGTTTCTCCTCACAGTCTGGGATACGGATATGACTGAATTACGTAAACACGACTGCTCGCTTTACTGGTCTCAATTGTATGCACTGCTTATCAAACGTGGAATCTTCTTGAAACGGCACCGGTTGTTGCTTCTTTGTCAAATTCTCATTCCGGTCGTGCTGACCATAGCTGCTTTGTTTGTGTTTCGCCATCTTGCGTACGATGTGAGCAGCTCGGATCCGCCAATCCGTTTGTCGATAGATAATTTCGGTTCCGCACTAGTGTTCAGTCACGCCAACGGAGATCAATCGACTGAAACGCATGCACTGGCGGAACAATTTATGGAGGCTTATAAGTCGCAGTTTAATCCTGATAAAGTTCGCTCTTGGCAAATCGAGAATGCTTCGGCTTATGAGGTGAGATGAACATTTATGTTATGACTGTCTAAATACTGGATCTTATTTAGCTTGTTTTCATGAATGGTTGTTTGCCCTGGTAGCCATTTGGTGGCTTGATCACTGTTTTGACAGCTGAATCATACCCGTT